TTTGTCTSTGTGTGTGCCTTAATGATGTGGGGGAGGAGGAAAGCACAGCAGAAGTCTGTGGCCCCATGTCCTGGGCACATCGGAGAGGCATCTCAGTGATTCGCCCAGCTCTAACTAGAAGCAAAACTGATAACGCTCATGTTTCTCAAATATGTATTTGAAGCAATGAGAAGACTCCTCTCTCCTGGGTTGCATGGTGTGTTGGAAGGGAAGCTTTTGCCAAAGATGGGAAACTGGTAGACTTATCTTAATTAGGGCTCTAAAAAGTTACACAAATAAGGTTTTGCTCAGTTCTTTCTCTGCTGCTTGAGAAGGTATTTACCTTTCTTCCACACCTTGGCCTAAATCTCTATTTTGAAATTAAGATTTCGTTCCCAGTCTAGATTAGACTGGACAGTGGAACAGGAATGATGGAGGAAGTCAAGGAACATCTCAACATCTTGCTGGCTAGAAGCTGCCCTTGGGGCAAGACTGATAGACCCCCCCTTGATACACTGGTTTTAGAGATGACTTTGCAGATTCTTTGATATGACATTATTCTTCTGGAAACAGTCCAAGGGACCTGGTTAACATTTTTAAAAAGTGTTTTCCTAAGGAAAAAGGAGAAGGTGAGCAGGCGATGAGGGGGTAAAGAATTACACAAAGATTTAGTCTAATGTCTTGGAAATCAAAAGGATCATTGGACAGATAGATGTCAAGTGTAATAGGAAACACACTGATTCTGGAGAGGGGATTTAATAAGGGCCCTCCCAGCCTCCCTGGAGCTGGCACAATGATCTACGATTTGGAATCATACTTGAAGTTCTCACCATCAGTGTGCGTTCTGGATCCATTTCTCAGGACATAGCCAGCAACCTTGAGTTCTCTAAACCAGGCTGAAAATTAGAGGTCCTTAACGGCATCTCATGAAAGTGCTTCTCAGAGTTTTCTTAAGCGGGATATGCTGAGGACCACAGGGATCCAGCCATAGGAAGAAAATGCTGCGGGTTATTTTCCAAAGCTTAATCTAGGGATCTTTTTGAAGAGCTCCTTACCCGGCAATGTGATGAATACTGAATACCAAGACTAATATTGACTGCTTTTCCCACTTATAAGTGGTGACCAGAGGGATATATCATCCACAAAGAGAAGTTTCTTAGGGTTTGCCAGAGCTGCTTTTCATAGCTAGCCAGGCTGCCAGCTTGCTGTGTCCTTATCCAAAAGCGTCCCAGGCAACCCAGACTGAAAACTGAGGGCACTTTGGCCAGGGAAGCCCCAAATTAACACACCTTATTTTTAAAAATATTTCCTGATAAACCATTGAGGTTGTATTACCAAGGACACTCACACCCTCTCTCTCTCTCACACACTCTCTCTTCTATTTTGTTTTCTTCAAATGAAACAAAATGATAAAACTCAGTAAATACATTCTGAGTCCTTCCCTGTTCTTCCAGGGTCCGGAGCCTCCTGCCTGGGAACTAGGACTGTTTGGCATTAAGTGGCAGCCACTCCAATGTCTAACGCTTGGCCACAGCAGACAGGGGATCAATGCATCATGGATTTGCCAGAGGAGAGAGACCCAAAGGGAGCCAGCCGAGGAGCCTTTGCTGCAGCTCAACTGGGAAGCATAAACCAACAAGCTGGCACTAATTAAGAGCTAATGGCCTTACAATGGAGCGTTGCCAAAGGATAACGACCCTCCGGCTGCGGCATAAATATCAAGACATCTGGGGCAGAGCCAAGACATATATTTTCAGAGAGCATTAGACTCTGTTGCAGCCTTCACCCAGGCTCTGCTGAAAGAATGAGAGGATGTAAGGTAGGTGGGAAAAGCCAGATCTTCCAGGTCTGCCTTCTGGCCCAGCTGGTCTGAATGCCTCAAGGTGATTTTGGGGAAAGACTTTGCTTTCCAGATCTCAAAGCTTTGCACACAAGAATCACTAGCGGTAAGGATGTAACTCAGTGGTAGAGCCTGTGCCTGGCAAGTACAAGGCCTTGGGTTTGATCCTCAGCACTGTAAAAAGGAAGATAAGAATCATTAAAGTGTAGGTTCTTTGGGCCGCACACCCCAGAGGGACTGACTTTGGAAGCTCAGGGATAAAGGCCAGGAGCCTCTATTTCTAACCAGCTCTTCCAAGTGATTTTGATGATGGTGATCCTCTGATCACACTCCAAGAAAGCCTGCGTTAGGAGCTGCTGCAACCCTCAATGACAGGGTGAATGAAGACAGAAGCAAGGTCAAGATTCTGAGCTTCCAAGCCTGGCGCCATCATGCCCCTATAAGCACAGTGACTGGAGAGGCTGAGGCAGGAGGATGGCAAATTTGAGGCCAGTCTCAGCAATTTAGCAAGGCCCTAACAAGTTAGTGAGGCCCTGTCTAAAATTAAAAAAAAAATTAAAAAATAAAAAAGGGCTGGGGATGTAGCTCAGTGGTAAAGCACCTCTAGGTTCAATATCCAGTACTCCCCCCGACCCCACCCCCCAAATCTGTTTCTTAAGAAAAACCCCAGTCCACTGGTTTCAGAAAGGTGGTATTTCCAACCAGTCTCTGTTGGGCTCTTTCCATTCACACAGACCCGGTTACTAGGAGCAAGACTTCAAGGAATGAGGCACTACCTCTTGTTCTAGGGGGAACAAAAGAGAAAGTATCCCATCTGTATGGTGCATACCACATCTGTGAGGCTTTCCTGTACCATAAGTCATATAATTATCCCGCAGCTTTGCAGGGTAGCTAAATTATTCTGTTTTAAAGCTGAGGGACTGCAAGCCTGGAGGTGTCTAGCCTCCTCCAGTTGCCATGACATCAGGAAAAAAAAAAAGTGAAAAACTGTCCCAGTATTACAACTGTAGGAAGCAGGGCAGGCAAACCAAGCCAGTCACTGAAGCATAACCTATCTCCATCGAGGTCATTATCTTCGGTGAAACTGAGGTTGGTGGTCAGGATGAGCAAACACAGTTGTAAAAGGATTGATAGGTCAGATTCTAAAAATAGATGGAAAGTTTGTATGATAAATGTGAGCAGAGGATGAGAACAGGAGAGAAACGACCCATCGTATCATCTGGGAAAATGAAACTCTTTGGCAAGACTTCACAACAGCCCGATTCAAAATTTCATAATGAAATTATGTCTCTGATCAAAGCATGCATGAGCTCATGGGATTTTTGCCATTCGTGTTTATTCTGGTTTGCACCAAGTCGAAGCATCAGAAACACATTAACCTAATCCTCTCTCTGGGAGGAGGATATTGGACCCTCATTTTGGGAATCAGTGGGACAGTTGGGGCAGGAAAGGGGCATCTTTAGACCTTCACTGAGTGTAAAGTTTTCTCCAACTAGCTCAGAGTTCCCTTAGACATATGCCAGGGGCAGGACCTACCTAGAAAAGTTGTGTTTAATCTCATGACACTTACCCTTGGGGCAGTAAGAGTGAAGTTCAAGAGAGAGAGGCTACATCTAATTCTCATCTAGGACTTAGACCACTTTTGCTCTAGAAATAACATTTGGGGATATTTTTCAGACTCAGAGAACTACTCAATCATCCCCCCTCAATCAGAATGCCTCTCTTTATAACAAATTGTTTTTGTAGAATTAGGGGAGCTGCAGAAAGCCCTCCTAATTCCCATTAAACCATGTCCTCTTTGGCCAATCCCCAGGGTGCAGTGATGGGGGAAACTTGGGGTACCAAAACAGAGGGTTGGTTTCTTGGTTGAAACTTTGACCTTGACTTTTTTTTTAGGATATTGTAGTGAACAAATTCCCTGCTCTCAAGAAGCTCACATTGTAATTTTGGGGATGCATCCAACAATATTGTAAATAAGATAATTTCAGCTAGTGATAAGCATCATGAAGTAAATAAAACAGAATAATGTAACTGAATCACTGTGGAATAATGAAAGTGGTTGATTTACCCACATTAGATGGAAGACTTCTCCCAAAGGGAAGGGTTGCCAGATAAAATGCAGGACACATAGTTCTACTTGAATTACAGGTRAACAATAAATTCTTAGTGTTAAGTATGTCCCAGCTGTACCAGCATATATTTACACTAACAAATTGATTCATTATTTATCTAAAATTCACATTTAAATGGTGTCCCGTATTTTTATTTGCTAGTTCTTACAACCCTAACAGTAGAATTGAATGACCAGAAGGAACCAGCTCCATAAAAGTTTCAGGGAAACAGTGATCCAGGCAAAGGAAGCATCTTCCATAAACGTTAGAGGGCGCTATAAATAAGGTCAGATAAATAAGCAGGGGCCATGTCACAGAATTCTGTAGGGATGCCCTGATTGAATCCATCAATCAGTCCTCCCCCCCCTCCTTAACCCCTATGATGGTAAAACATTAGACCATAAGAGGTGTTTTGTAGTTCTGGGACTGAACTCAGGGTCTCTGTGCCATACTCCTAGAGCTACTCCCTCAGCCTAGAGTTTTAAGGAAGAAGATCAGGACAATTCTGAGTACTGATTGACATTTGGCTACTGTGTGGTCGTCCAGGTTGGAAGGGTTTGTTTAGAGGACACATTCCTAGGATAATTAAGGTTGTGTTGGCTTAAGAAGAGACTATTTGGGGGGGGGGCGGGGAGGATAGTGGGGATTGAACCGGGGGATACTCTAGCACTGAACTACATCCCCAGCCCTTTATTATTTTGAGACAGTCTTGCTAAGATGCTCAGGCTGGCCTTGAACTTGCAATCCTCCTGCCTCAGCTTCCCAAGTCGTTGTGGATTACAGGCGTAAGCCACCCCGCTGGATGAGAAAAGCCTTCTTTATTTGGGGGTGGAGCCAACTAGGAGCTCTGTGCCCTACTCCTAGGGTAACTAGAGGTTGCTATGGCGGGGCAGCTTGGCGGTTGCTAGGGCAGGAGTGGTCCTGCGGTCCACGCAGCGTGAAGCCTAAGACTGGAGCGGGGGCGGGGCCAGAGCCCGGGCCGGGGCGGGGAGTGAGAAGGCGCGCGCCGCGCGTTCGCAGGAAGTCGCGCCGGGGGAGAGAGAGAGAGAGTGGCGCGAGCGGAAGTGACGTATCCTCGCGCTCGTGGTCCTGCGTGGTTCACGCGCGTTCCCTCGGCTGGCCTGGGGAGTTCCGCGCTCGTTTACCCATCGATAGCCAGAACCGTCCCGGTCCCGTCGGCAAGATGGTGAAACCCAAGTTCAAAGGAAGGAGCACCATCAACCCCTCCAAGGCCAGCACAAACCCGGGTACGGGCTGCGGGGCTCGCGGAGGGGGAGCTTGGAGGAGACGTGGGGGAGGTCGGAGGGGGAAGAGGGCACCTGAGTGGCGTCGCTTGGGGTGACCTCGAGCCCAGTGGCTTTGGGGGATGAGAAGGGAGAAGGCAACCAGCGTTTGAGGTGGTTTCTCAGTTGGGGACACCGGGAGGTTTGACAGCTCGCTAGCCCGGCAGGCCRAACGGCAGTCACCTGGTTGAAAGGCGGTGGGGGTTGGGGACAGCGAAGCCCGGGCCTCTGGCAGCCTTGGGGCCTCGCCAGCTGTGAGATGCAGAGAAAGATAGTTTGAGGGTGGCCTAGGCCGACTCGGTGGGCTTTTCACACATGACCACACTCTCCTGCCACCTTAGCTTTGATCATTTAAAAGAGAAAGGGCCCGTGCATTCTTCCTCGCCGGTAAAAATGACTAGGAAATCCTAGAGAGATAAGTATGGTCATTTCAGTCCAGGTGTTTTTTGGATATGAGTCTAAATTTTGGCAAGGTTTCACCTACAAGGTGAACAAGATAAGCTTGGTGGGGGTGCGGGTGTCCCTTTCATTCCGATTTAGTTAATCAAACTTTGTTTTTAAATATGGTTAAGAATTTTTGTCCACCCAGCATGTGTTGAATGTTTTCCCGGATGGATGATAAATTAATCCAGTTTTTGTAGACTGGAATCTGAGAATATTAGCCCCCAAAAGGCTGTCAGAGGTCATGATTTTTTTTGGTGAAGAGACTGAACCAAAATAGAGGATGTGGCTTGTCATGGTGGCCACACTTCTTAGTAGAGTCCCCAGTCCTATGATGCCAGGCAGTTTTTTACTGCATTTTTACTTCAAGAGCAGGTGACTTGAAGGGCTTCTTAGGTGAGAAGCTAGGCTAGTATTACCTTGCTTATTTGACATTCTTTTTCTCTCTGGGGTAGAAGGAAGGATTCCTACTTATTTTAATTAGACTAAAATTGACAAGTTTTTAATTAGGAAGTTAAGAAACTGGAGCATTAAGAACAATTCCATTTTAAAACTGTAGTGTCCATGGTGCCTTGCATGTGTCAGGCACCAGTATTGGTTAAACTGAGATGTAGATAGGTGTCTGGAGCGTAAGAGCACAGATTTTGATTTGGTTCTGGCTCTGCTGCTTCATAGCTTTGTGACTTTGGGCAAAGTGTCTGTGCCTTCATTTCTTAGCTAGCAGCATGGACATAATGTATCTCTATATGAATATTATTTAGATTAAGTGAGATAATGACTGTAATATGGATAGTTCATTGTCATAATTAAGCTAAAATATTAGCTATTATCATATATAATCATATTGAAGATTAAAGATTGGATACATTTTTCATACCATGTAGCTTTAAGTAATAGCTTATTGGAGCAACATATGGAAAAAAATAGAGATTTTTGTGGTGTAGTTTGTACAGTGTGGGTGAGCTACATGGTTCAATTTGAGCAGTGACCATCCTTATTGGTTATCAAATAGTGTACTGTTTACTTCTGCCCTTCCTAGATCGAGTACAGGGAGCAGGAGGCCAAAACATGAGGGACCGTGCCACCATCCGCCGCCTGAATATGTATAGACAAAAGGAGCGCAGGTGAGGACTGGGTATTGCCATCCTTTCCCCTTTCCTTTGTACCCTTGACTTGTAGCTGAGACCTGTTAAGCCTTTGGTGTTCCCAYCCTCACTTTCCCCAAACAGGAGTAATATGTTGTCAAATACCACTTCTATATGAGTGTCATCAACATAAGTCATTCATTTTTGGCTAAATGCATGGGTAGTGGATGGTGAAATAGTGATTGTTTCATAGTACTTTCAACAGGTGACAAGTGTCTTGCTCCTCACAGCCCAGGTCTCCACCAAGGGCATGTTAAATCTCAGAATTAAATATCCATCAGGTAGAAATCAAAGTATATAGTTATGAAAACTGCTAGAAAAACTGTTTTTCAGTGCCAGACTTTTTAGATCACAACATTGTGGCACTTGGAAACTCATCCCAGCTCAGTTCTGCTGAGGCAGCCTCCACCCTAGGGACTTGCTGAGTGTGGCATTTTGCTAGCTGGTCTTAATTTGTTTGGTAATTAGATTCTTCGTCTGTTCTAAAAGATGTGTCTAAAACACAAACGTCAGTGAACTTAATCTGCCTTAGTCACCTCTTTGCAGTTTGTTTTAGAATTTTGAGTTCCAGAATAAATCATCCTCTACTTAAAATTCATTTAAACCAGGCTTCAAATAATTACCAAAAAACTCAAATATGTGATTTTTTTTTAAAAAAGCAAACAAACAGTGAGCAGATTTTTAAACATAGCATTGTTACTCATCTAGCAGAAATCATTACGTGCTCTGTTGCAAGAGGTTAAATGACTTTTGGGCAATCTGTTTCAAATATAGAAGTACTTTTTGTTTACTGAAATCTGTACTGCATGATCATTTAAAAGAAAAAAAAAGTCCTTTTGATGGAAAGGGTATTCTGTAAACCAAACTTTTGTGTTGCCTTTCTTCTGTCGTCAAACCAGAATCTGTTATTTCCTCAATTTAGGAACAGTCGTGGTAAAGTGATTAAGCCTCTGCAGTATCAGTCAACAGTAGCTTCTGGCACAGTGGCACGAGTAGAGCCAAATATTAAATGGTTTGGTGAGTACTGTCCCTTGTTATTTTGTGCAACAGAACGAACGTTGTATGGGAAAGACTAGAATGTTTAAACATCTAAAAGGCATTTTAAGTGTCTAAAAGGAGCTTTTGGTGAGTGAAACTCAAAAGTTATAGGAGGAAGGGATAAAAAGTACCCGTAATAGAAGAAGTACTGGGGAAAGTGGTGGATTTCTTAAGTCTCTTTTTGAATAGAGCTTATCATTCTTAATTGTAAGTGAACCATCTTAAGCAGATAAAAACAATCCTTAATGACTAGCATTYGCAGACCTTGGAACTCTTACCCTTTAATTTCTGGTTGCCTAGAGAGATTACTGTTTGAAAGGTGGCCTTGCAGATGTGTTTGTGCCATTAACTCCCAGAGTGGATCTCACTGTTGGTGCTTCYAGGAGTGAATAGACTATCTCCTATTGAGGCTTCTTCCTTTTGACTTTTGAGCTTTTCCCATGGCCATTGGTAAGATATGTGATGGTCATCATTTACCTGGTGTTTGAACTCCTTGCTTGGGGGCAGATGGCAATGTCTTTTGAATATCTTTTACACTTTTTGTTGGGATACCCCTTTAGAAGTGCAAAACAAAAAAGTGTCAAAAAGGGGATGAGGGTTGTAGCCCAGTGCTAGAGTGTTTGCCTAGCATGTGCAAGGCCTAGGGTTCAATCCCAGTACTGAAAAAAAGAAAGAAAGAAAAAAAAAAAAAAAAAAGACATGTCAAAGAAGACTGTAGAGGAGCATTTAGCATGGGTATTGGGACTGTAGATCCAGAGTGCCTGAGTTTGGAATCAACTTCTGCCATTTGTGTGAGTTTGGGTAAAATTGTTAAGTCTATTTAATTTCTTATGTAAAATGAGAATAAACCTGTAATCTCAGGAACTCAGGAGGCTGAGGTAAGAGGATCACAAATTTGAGGCCAGCCTAGGCAACTTAGTGAGATCCTGTCTCAAAACTAAGAATAAAAGGGACTAGAGATACATCAGTGGTAAAGTGCTTCTGGGTTCAATCCCCAGTACTGCAAAACAAAAACAAAAAGAATAAAAATAGTACCAACTCACAAAACTGTTATGGCAATTAAATTAATAAATACATGTAAAGTGCTTGGAATAGTGCCTAACATACAGGGAGTGTCTTTTATGCATTTCTATCAACAGTGCCTTGATATTTTGAATTTTGTTATGCTGCTGCTATTTAATTGAGTACTTTCTTCAGGATCTGTCACTTAAGATGTTCTCCAGGGTGTGTTTTAGGGCTTCATTTTATTCTCTTTGGTGAATTTAATGATTAATATTCGTAACCCTAAAAATTGTAACTACGACTATTACGTTTCTGAGCTTCAAGATTCCTGGTCTACATCAATTGACGAGCTGTGATTGGCTCCAGATTTCTTTGCCAGTATGAGAAGGAAGTAGGACATTTTTCAAATCTTAGTCCCATAGGGTGATGTTTATTTTTCAGTTTCATTCAGCCAGGAAATTAGGCTTGGAAAACTGTTAAATTCCCTTRTATGTCTGGGTAGTAGATTAATTCATGGTATATGAATGCAGAAAAGGCAGTTTCTTGGTTGTTTCCTTTCCTCTCTCAAGTTTGAAAATGTGACTGGGGATTGGATGTCTAGGTGCTTGGAGAGTAACTTAGCATCATGCCTTTCATTGTATTGGTGGGAAGGTGGGTATAGAAGTAAAACTAAGTTATTTATTAAATGGCAACATTCTTTATTTGTAAAACAGGAAACACACGTGTGATTAAGCAAGCATCATTACAAAAATTTCAAGAGGAAATGGATACAGTTATGAAGGATCCRTACAAAGTTGTCATGAAGCAAAGCAAGTTACCAATGTCTCTTCTCCATGACCGAATCCAGCCTCATGTAAGATGTAGGGTATCTTTGGTGATAGAATTTCTCAGGYAGACTGCATGCAGGCAACCTGTCTAACCTGTTTGTCTTTGGCTTTAATAAACTTTGAACTTTCTGAGACTTCTCTGTTTATCTTCGTTAGGGTCCTCACTTTTAGTATGAATCAAGTTTTGTGAGGAACATGCTGTAGTGTAGTGAATCAAAACAGGTCTTCAAGCAAGACCTGAATTCTAGTCCTTCCTCTGTCCCTTCATGTACCCTTTGTTAGGTTTCTCTGTGAGCCTTAACATTTTCTTCGGTATGCAAACTTGTCTTAGTGGTAATTCCATCAGTCTGGGGGGAAATGTAGGATTAGGACCGGACCGAGTTGGAAGGAGGCCTTTGGTGTTGCTTGCTTCTCCGATTTTGTGAGGCCCCTGGAAATGCTTTTCAGCCTAGGGAAAAGGTGCCATTCACATTGGCTGTTGATTGCTGGAGTTGGAAGGACAATCTGGCAAGAGTGGGATGAGTGTCACATGGAACACAGACATCGCCTAATGTTGGCTTGCATGTTTTTGCTTGCATTGAATAATAATTCCCAGAAACATAGCCAGTACATACACTTCAGTTCCAGTATAAGGAGGGGAGGAAACATTGACATGCATACATGGATTAAGCAGTTCAAAGAAAAGTGTTTACTTGCAGAACAAAATAAAAACCAAGGCCTGGTTATTGCCTCAGGTTTTGTCAATTAGGTTTTGTTTTATGATGGACTAAAAGAATGGCACCTATTAGTGGAATGGCTGTTTTCTTTCAGGGAAACACATGAGTACAATTCATGAACCACAGGCAAGTTGCTCATTTCCCTTGTTCTCTTTGTCTGTTCTCCCTAAAGCCATCTTCTAACCAGCTATTGAATCCTGTTTATGGGAAAAAACAGAGAGGTTCTATTACAGATTTTTTGCTTTGTTGCTTGTTCTAGTTGCTCAGTGCTCCTAAAATCCAGTACTTAAATATCTGATATGTAGGATGAAGGGTCTGCAGTTGGACTACTCAGCTTGGATTATGGTGCAGGAAAATTCTTAAATCAGTAGGTTTTCTGCTTTTGCCTTGAAAGCCCTTACCTATTTTATTTTAGTGTGATATCCGTTTGCTTTGAAATCTCATTCTGTACATTTTAGTCAAATCGGATATACTTTGACTTTTGCACATTCAGCTTTTATGTATTAGAATTACTGTATTTCTGTCTGGGTGAGGTGGTACTCGCTAATAATCTCAGCTAATGTGGAGGCTGAGGCAGGAGGATCACAGGTTCCAGTCAGCCTTAGCAGTGTAGCAAGACACAGTCTCAAAATAGAAAATTAAGAATAAAATAGGGCTGGGATGTAGCTAGTAATAAAGTGCCCTGTGTTCATTTACCTATACCCAAAAGAATTAACTGTATTTCTGTAGCAATACAATAAAAATGATGCAACTTAYTTTACATGTGTATTTTAATAAGTACAATGTAGTAGGTTTATGGACACTGTATTTTCTAAGCTAAGATATATTCAGGAATAGTTTTGGTCATACTTGATTTTAGAACCTAATTCCTGTGCAAAATGTGATTCTTCTGTTTTGGGGATGTTCCCTGAGGATACCAAATAAACTAAGAGGTGGATTAGAGAATCCAAGCAAGTGATAGTAGTTTAAAGATCTTTAAAGGTTGGAAGGGGAGATCAATTAAAGTTGTTCTGTCATCCTGAGGTTTGGAGTTTGTATCAAGGGGAAGGGGGTGATTTTACTTTATTTTTTAAAGGTGGTTCTCTGTTGGCTCTCAACATTCTGTTACGTGATAGATCCTAACTCAATCTTTGACTTTTATCCTGCTTCAAGAATTCCTATGCCTGTAACTCCTTTACCGCACATCAAGTTCTAGTTAGTATCAAGTTCCTTTTATCACATCTAAAGTATTATTTTGGACTTTTGCTAGATGTTTTTCATCAAAAGACTTTCCATGTGCGTTTAATAAAAATGTTACCTAAATTAGGGAAAATGTTATCTGAAACTAAAATGCATCTTACAAAACAAGCGATTCCTTTTCGACATGAAAGAAATTAACTTCCAAGAAAAGGTTGGCATTTACAGTTGGTTTAAAAAAAAACACAAATTTGAGTATGATTGTCCTTGACAAAATCTGTGAATTTGGCAAACTTTATGCACTCATTTGAAAACTCAAAAAAAAAAAAAAGAAAAGATAAGTTACTTTTCATTATTGTAGCCTTAATTACATTTGACTAAACTTTATGATAAATGAAATAAAGCAGAGTTTTGGCAAATCTTAAACACAACTATCCATATTTGCTTTAATTTATTACTTTTGTGTTTCTCCAAAGAAGCTCACAGAACTTCAGAATAGAACAAGTGTTTGTGCTATTTAAATAAGCATTTCTGATTTGAAACTAGACCAAATTCATGTTCACTTAGATTTCAAATGTGTGTTGAGCTCTGGAAAAATAAAGGCAGAAAACCTTTACCGGGTTGGTTTTTAAATTTTTGCTTTTCCTCAGTGCTTTCCTTAGTTTTACCTTTAATTCTCCTTTCCCTTTAGAACTCAAAGGTGCACATTCTTGATACTGAAAGTTTTGAAACTACATTTGGCCCTAAGTCTCAGAGGAAGCGGCCAAACCTATTTGCAAGCGATATGCAGTCTCTCGTAGAAAATGCTGAAATGTCCACTGACAGCTATGACAAGGGCAAGGATCGTGATTTGGTAACTGAGGATACTGGTGTGAGGTACGCTGTCAAAGTTTGCATGAGTCTCATCATTTGCTCCTCTGCAACAAAATGTTTTACCTATTTTGCCTGTATGAAGGGTTGATATAGAGAGTTCTCCTGTTCCCTTAGACCAGAAATATTGGTGGAATTCAGTCCAGTAGGAAAACTATTTAGGATGGCTTGATTGTCACAGATCTCTTCATTCCCCCAAATAAAAATAAATGATATTTTCTTCATCATTATAATAGTAGTATATCCCATCACAGACAAATTAGAAAATTCAGTTAAGTTGAAAAATGAAGCAAAAAGAAAATAATTCATAATTCCATTACTTCATTAAAAGAATTKTTAATACTTTGTTAACAATTAACCACTGAGTATTTATGGTGGCCTGTGATCCTCTGAAGTAGTGGAATTTTTTTTAAGTTGACGGATCTTTATTTTATTCATTTATTTATTTATATGTCGTCCTGAGAATGGAACCCAGTGCCTCACACATGCTAGGCAAGTGCTCTACCACTGAGCCATGACCCCAGCTCCAAGTAGTGGAACTTTATTGTTTTGTTTTCATTTAGTTTTGTTTTGGAGCTGAAGAGAGGAATAGTCCATAACTCTCATCAAATTCATGTAGGGGATCCACAACCCAAAGAAGGTTCAGAATCAGTCACTGATACATATCCTTTTAGGTCTTTCTTATGCTCATTTTTTATTTACAAATATAATATGTTACATCTATTTTAACTTGTCTTTTATTTGTGTTTTCCTGTGTTACTGAGAATATATTTGCTGAGTGTGGTGGTGCATGCCTGTAATCCTAGCAGCTCTGAAGGCTGGGGCAGGAGGATTACACCCAGCCTCGGCAACTTAGCAAGGCTGTAAGCAACCCAGTGAGACCTGTCTCAAAATAAAAAGTGCTGGGATGTGGCTCAGAGGCTAAGCACCTTGGGTTCAATCCCTGGTAAAAAAATATAAGAACAAAACCAAGCCAGCCTCAGCAAGTTAGCGATAGATATCCTGTCTCAATACTAAAAAATAAAATTGGTGGCTGGGTGCAGTGGCACATATCTGTTTTTGCTTGGCCTCAAAAGGCCAGACATTATCCCTAGTGGGTCCAAAGCTTGTGGCTGACAGCAATGAGGTCACCTCGCTGCTGTCACTGGACAATGCCCCTTCACATTAATAGGGCAAAACCTCCCTCTAGTTAGAGAAACTTGTTCGGGGAAATGGAGCCCTGTAGTGCTAATACCAGTGGCTCCAAAAGCTGAGGCAGGAGGATCGTGAGTTCAAAGCCAGCCTTAGCAACTTAGTGAAGCCCTGAGCAACTCAGTGAGACCTTATCTCTAGAATACAAAAAAGGACTGGAGATGTGGCTCCGTGGTTAAGTGTTCCTGGGTTCAATTCCCAGTACAAAAAAAAAAATTTTTTTTAAAGTGTTGGGGATGTAGCTCAGTTGTAAAGCTCTCCTAGGTTTAATCCCCAGTAATAATCCCCTCCCCCGCAAAAAATAATATATTTCCATGTCAATCACCTACACGTAATGTTTATTATCAGCGGTATTTTGTTGTGGCCAGTCCAACTTAGACATTTGTGCTGGTTTATGGTTCTACCATATGGTAAATAACTTGAGGGAGAATAATCAATGTGGCTAAATCGTTTTCATCCTTAATTATTCCCCCAAAGATAAATCCTACAGGGCACATTATAGTGTTAAATGTGTRTATGTTTTTCGATGGACTGCTGCCACATTTTCTAGTTTAGCTTCTCTTGAGAGGTTTACACTGCAGGGCTCCATTTTCCCCCATAAGTCTCTCTAACAAGAGGGAGGTTTTGCCCTATTAATGTGAAGGGGCATTGTCCAATGATAGCAGCAATGTGACCTCATTGCTGTCAGCCCACCAGCTTTGGACCTCCTAGAGATAATGTTAGGCCTTTTGAGGCCAAGCAAAAACAGGCAGCAAGTCCGTTTACAAGAATTATTTGAACTTTCTAGTTGGGTTCATGTCTTCTTCTGATTAGAATTTTTTTCCTCCTCCAAAATGTACAGTAGGTAATGGAGAAAGGCAAAGCTATTTTTGTTTTGTTTCCTTGGGTAAATGTTTTTGAAACTAGTAAATAAACAGATTCTTAAAAATGTCATTTATCGAAAAAATGTCCTTACTTTACATAGTATCTATGGAGTATAGATGTGATTCAGATCCTGCCAAGGATATTTCATGATTCTTTGACATTGAGCCTCATTACAGCTGGTTAGTTTTTTACTGTAGTGAAATATACCTAAAATTTACCATTTTAAGCTAGGAGTGGTGTCACCTGCTTTTAATCCCACTCACCTTGGGGGGCTAAGGCAAAAGGATCACAAGTTTGAGGCCAGCTTCAGCAACTTAGCAAGGCTCTGAGACCCTGTCTCAAGATATAAAAGGTCTGGGGATGTGGCTCAGTGGTAAAGTGCCCCTGGGCTCAATCCTTGGTATTTAAAAAAAAAAAAAATTACCATTCCTAAGTACGCAGTTCAACAGCATTAAGTACATTTACATTATACAATCATCACCATTGCCCACCTCCCAAACTTCATCCCACTGAAACCATGTGTCCTTTTAGTGCTAATTCCTGCTCCCTTCTGCCCAAGCCCCTGTTAACTACCATTTAAGTGTTTGACTCACCTAYGTACCTGCCTCTTGTTAARTGGAATCATGCAGTATTTGTCCTTTTGTTCCTGCCTTATTTCACTTAATGTCTTTAAGGTTTATCCATGTTGTATCATGTGCCAGAATGTCTTTCCCTTTAAAGCTAGATAATATTCTATTCATGTGTTTATCATATTTTTGTTTATCCACTCATCTATTGATGGACACTTGGGTATGGTTAGTTTTAAAATTCAACCTGGGAGTCAGCCATGGTGGCACATGCCTGTAATCTCAGCCGCTTSAGAGGCTGAGTTCAAAGCCAGCCTTAGCAACTTAGCAAGACCCTGTCTCTAAATAAAATATAAAAAGGGCTGGAGATGTGGCTTACTGGTTAAGTGTACCTGGGTTCAATCCCCAGTACAAACAGACAAACAGAAAACTTTAAAATTTAGTTTGCAGACTAGGGATGTGGCTCAGTGGTAGAGTGCTTGCTTGGCATGTATAAGGCCTTCAGTTCAATCCCCAGTACTGCAAAAAAGAAAACAAAAACATTTCTCTGTAAAATTGTTTTCAGTCCATCTCTACTGGTTTTGATACCATTTTCTCTGTTAAGTTGACTTTTCCCTAAAACATCCTTTTAGTCTTGATAGTGCTTCTTTTGCTCATTTGGAGTGCTTTCTTATTTAGAAATGAAGCCCAAGAAGAGATCTACAAAAAGGGACAGTCCAAAAGAATATGGGGTGAGCTCTACAAGGTAAGACTCTAATATTCTCACAAATGAGTGAGTGATTTGTACCCTCATGAGCACAGATTTTGATATAGGGATGCTGTGTCACAGTACAGACTCTGTGACCCATTCTGTCCTCTATCCCTCCCAAAGAAACCAGGATGTTGCAGCCAGGCACATACTGCCTTTGTTGTAAGTGATCACATTTTTTTAAAATAATGTTTTTTTAGTTATCAATGGACCTTTTATTTAATTTATTAATTTGTCTATATGTGGTGCTGGGAATTGAACCCAGTGCCTCACACATGCCAGGCAAGTACTCTTCTGTGGAGCCGTAACCCCAACCGGTAAGTGATTGCATTTTAAAAATTTCTTTTATAAGAGTAAAAGCTACCTTATGCATTCATATATTTCCTGTTGATATTTAGATTTACTATCAAAATGGTGTTCTTATTTAGATTCATCTTACATGGTTAGAGCCACATGAGAAGTTTTAAATTAGTCCAGCTGTTTTGTTTTATAGCTGAGAACTCTTATCTGGAAAGGGTTAATACCCTACGAGCTTGTTGGTGGAAAAAGCCTGATCCAAACAATGATTTTTATTTATTTATTTTATTTTATTTTTAAAGAGAGAGTGAGAGAGGAGAGAGAGAGAGAGAGAGAGAGAATTTTTAATATTTATTTTTTAGTTCTCGGCGGACACAACATCTTTGTTGGTATGTGGTGCTGAGGATCGAACCCGGGCCGCACGTATGTCAGGCGAGCGCGCTACCGCTTGAGCCACATCCCCAGCCCCAAACAATGATTTTTAACTGGTTGAGTTATTGGTTTTATTTTGTTTTAGTTGTATATAAACACAATACCTTTTATTTATTTTTATGTGGTGCTAAGGATTGAACCCAGTGCCTCACATGTGCTAGACAAGCGCTCTACCACTGAGCCACAACCACAGCCCCTAACTCGTTTGTTTTGAGTCTGTGTAATAATATTCTAGGAAGAAAGACCTTTAAGCATAGTCTCATAATTAAACAGCATCATAATAGGAAACTAAGACTATAAAGGTAAATTAAATAATTTCGTTTTCTAGAAAAACACACGAGACTTATAATACTAGAAACTTATGGAAGTGATAGATTAAGTTTAATAATCTCTAGTAGTTATGTGATGAAATAGGTCTTATCCAAGTTGGCTTTCCTATTTGAAATTTGTTAAGTTTCAAATAGTTACAGGTTGAAAAATCTTGAATTTTTTCATCACTTGCCCACATTCAAGTGTCAGATTGAGGTTGGCTAGCATCTGTTCTCACCAGACTTGAGTTGTGGTTGTCTCTAAATATTATTTCCTTAGTTTTTTTAAATGTCATCTCTCTTTAATTTTCTCTGTACTGTAGCAAAYCRTTTCTGTCTCTTGAATTCACAGGTGATAGATTCATCAGATGTTGTTGTTCAAGTTCTTGATGCTAGAGATCCAATGGGTACCCGTTCCCCTCACATTGAGGCTTACTTAAAAAAGGAAAAACCCTGGAAACATCTCATTTTTGTGCTTAACAAATGTGACCTTGTTCCAACCTGGGCCACAGTAAGTACAGCTACTGATAAAACACAAGACTCTCAAGGCCACTCAGCTCTTGTACACTCTGAGTAATCTGTTAACACATCAGTTTCATGGCCTCTAGGCATTAATACATTAAGGTATTGCACTCTTGAGCACCTTAGTAGTTTTTGGAGTGTTCTACTGAAACAACCAAAGTGAGCTTCACCAATGGTGGGTAGCAGCAACTCCTTTTGTTCTCTGTCGTCTGTAATGAGACAGCTGCAGGGCCCCCAAGGACAGGCGAGTGTGTGCCCTGTCAGAAGGCAGCAGCTGCCATAGCTACTAGCCTGCTCCACATTGCGTTCCATTAATTGCATTTAGTAGCAATGAAGGCATTTTTGGAATATTGTTTTTGTGGTTATGAGACAAAAGACAAAGCATTAAAACAATTAGACTTGAAAGAACATTTCAAAGAATTATAACTARCATTTTCCCTTAGGCAACAGTGCATTTGAAACACAATTCAAACTGTAATTCAAGCTTCGATTCTTCCACATGTTATAAATAAACAAGCTCCAATTTACCAGTGTATTTTCTTCTTTCCTTTTAGAAAAGATGGGTTGCTGTCCTCTCTCAGGACTATCCTACCCTTGCCTTCCATGCAAGTCTCACCAACCCCTTTGGCAAAGGAGCTTTCATTCAGCTTCTTCGGCAGTTTGGAAAGGTATGAAGACCTGCTCTGTTGTTCTAGGAGTTTGRTAGCTGGGAGTTTGTGTGCAGATCACTTGCCGCTGTGCATCAAAAGTTGCCAGCCTCACTTCCCTCCATGTATTCTAGAGATGTAAAAATGCATACAGCCTGTGAAGTATGAGGAATCCCGAGGTGTTTTCTCACTCCACATTTGCCCCACTCCTAGATTCCCTTTCTGCCACATTCTGGTCCGGTGGATGTCTTCCCTGCATTCTGTGTGTCCACATTATAAATAAACAAGCTCCAATTTACCAATGTATTTTCTTCTTTCCCTTTAGAAACGATGGGTTGCTGTCCTCTTTCTTTGGTTTGCAAGGCCTACCTTGCTTCTTCCTCCCTCGGGGCCTATGTATCATCTTTTGGCCTGGAGAGGGCGCTGCCCACATTCAAGCCTCAGATGCCAGTTGTCATGGATGCCCTGGGACCARATCACTCTCTCAGATGTCTTAAAACTTATCTTCATGCTCTTATCTGTAATTGTGTGTGTGTGTGTGTGTGTTTTTGATTAATTCTACCTGTCTTCTAATGAAAAACACATGTCACCTGTGCCCCCCTTTCCCTCTTCCCAGAAGGAAACACTTCCAAGTACTCTTGGCCATCATTTCTGGTATTTTTCTTCATGTTGTTAACACATGCCTATCATTTGATCTTTTAAACTTCCCTAATTCTCTTCCTTGTTTAAGATACAAATTTTAATTTCCTAYTCTGGAAAGTGAGGATTAGATGTGTGTGCGCGCGCATACGCATGTACATTCTGAGGGTTGAACCCAGTGCCTATGCATGCTAAGCATATGACTATAACACCGAGCCATACTTCCAGTAGTAATTAGATTTCTTACAGTCACTTTCCCTCCACACGTACTTTCCTCCTCCTGCTTTCCCTGTAGAATTGGACAGTGTTGGRCCACATCATTATTCAATCAGTGTTTATATTGTTATGTTTGTGTGAAACACTAGTATAGCTGAGTCACTCTGTGATATGATTAGAATTCCTTTCTGATGAAAACCTTTGTTTTTCTCTGGTGTTAATTTGTTCTTTTTATGTTTGTGTCTATTACTAATAGTCCAGAGRTGCTCTGGTAGAGTGGGAATGTGTCCACGTGTAACAGGATCTGCCTTGGTGGCCAGCCCTTGGTCCTCTCTCCAGTTGACGGGAACTGACTATTCCTAGGCCTGCTGTGCTCTTCCTGGGATTTCCTTTCACTATCTTCATTCCCAGGGCTCTTTCCTATGTTGGATCACTTTTATTCTTGTCCAATTTACTCCTTCTGTTTTTGTTTTATGGTGGTTTTTTTTTTTTTTTTTTTTGGATGTGGGTAGGGGGGATACTGGAGATTGAAGCTAGGAGGTGCTGAGCCACATCCCCAGCCTGATTTTTTTTATGTTTTATTTGGAGACAGGGTCTTGCTGATTTGCTAAGGCTGGCCTTGAACTTGTGATCCTTCTGCCTCTGCCTCCTGAGTCACTAGAATTGTAGGCATATGCATCTGTACCCTCCTGAAGGAATTTATTACTTATGGTTATGAGACAAAAGACAAAGCATTAAAACAATTAGACTTGAAAGAACATTTCAAAGAATTATAACTAATTCTTTGAATTAGTTATAATTTTATTTTCTAAAAGTTTCCTGAGAATTTATTTTCTAAAAGTTACCTGAGAAGGGGTGCTTCACAAGAACTGTTTTGTTTTGTTTTTTTTACTTTAAGACAGTGTCTTGCTAAGTTGCTCAGGGTGCCCTTGAACTTGTGATCCTCTCGCTTCCACCTCCTGAATGGTTGTGATTATAGGAGTGGGCCATTGTGCCTGTCTTTAGAGGGAAACTTTGAGAGACCTGTCATTCTGTCCCTGTTCTCCTGTCACACTGTTGCGGCATCACTGCATTGCCTTCTGGCTTCCCGTGTTGACATTGAGAAGTCAGAGGCCATTCTGTCTCCTAATCCTTTGTGGCTRTGATCTTTTTAGAAAATTTCTCTTTTGGAATTTCACAGTATTGTGTCTGAAGCTGGGTCTTTTATTGTGGAGTGAGCTAGGCATTCCATGGGACATTCAGCCTGGTATTGTCTGTTTTTTTGAAATTTCCTTTTCACTATCCATCATCTTTTTCTCATTCGGGAATTTGATTTTTGCCTCTTGGCTTAATTCTTGAATTTTCATATCTTTTCTTGATTTTAGTACTTATTTATTTTGCTCAGTTTTCTTGACTTGTTTATCAAATTGTTCTGTCACAAAATGTATTTTTTTCTGGTCACTCTTAATTTTTAATTTCTGAAAGCTCTTACTTACCTCTTTTTTCCCTACCTCTTATACATCACTTTACATCTATAATATCCTCTTTGTCTCTCTGAGAATGTTAATGATAGTGGTGTTTTCAAGTTTTCCTTATTCCCAACATTGACTTTGTTGGCTCCAAGTTTCTTTGTTTTACTGTCTTTTCTGCTAGTCGTGTTTCAAATGGTTATTCTCCATATTTCAGAATACTTTACYGGTGTGGTGGTATGAGCCTTTAATTCCAGCTGCTCAAGAGGCGAGGCAGGAGGATGGCCTAAGCCTTGGAATTCATATTGCCCTSATAAAATAGAAAGATCCCATCTGAACAAAGGAATAAGGCACCAAAAAATGATTTTTAAAAAAATTTTTGGCATAGTGGCTTATTGACTGATAGATTTCATTGTGGGGTGATTAGATAGTGACCCAGATATTTTGTTGTAAAACAGATGTCACTGTTTTTTTTTTTTTTTTTTTTCTTAATATTTTTTTTTTTTAGTTTTCGGCAGACACAACATCTTTGTTTGTATGTGGTGTTGAGGATCGAACCTGGGCCACACACACGCCAGGCGAGCGYGCTACCACTTGAGCCACATCCCCAGCCCCAGATGTCACTGTTGATAGGTCTTTTTTTCTTATGGTTGTATCTCTAAAACAGTCTTCTAATTTCTAGCCCTGACAGGTATATAAACCTGGCTGCCAGCTAAATGTGGTGGGGAACACCTGAGATCCCAGAAACTTGGCAGGTTCAGGCAAGAAAATCACAAGTTCAAGGCCAAACTGAGCAACTTAATAAGACCCTGCCTCAAAATTAAAAAAAAAAAAAAAAAAAAAGTTTAAAAAGGGCTGGGGATGTAACTCAGTGATAGAACACCTCTGTATCAATCCCTAGTACAGCTGCTGGGTCGTGAGCTCTCTCTGGGAATAGGAACAAGGTCTCACTGTTTGATACTTAGGCTTTGAGTGTATGACTTGGGAAACAGCCTTTTGCTGCTGGTATATTTAAAAGGATCCATTTCAGGTTAGAAAATAAAACATTTTCAGACATGCAGGGTCTCAAAAATCAAGATTTCCTGAGGACCTGGACTTCTTGGGGAATAGAGAAGCCATGTGCTTGTGCTGAGTGAGGGTGGGGAACAAGGGGTTTGGCCACTTGCCAGRGCCGGGCCTTTGGCTTTTAGTGCTCTTCTCAAAGGTACCCAACATTTAATTTCAGGACTTTTTGTTATTCCTTGAAATTATCATTCAATTTTTATGAATTTTTTCTTGCCCTACACATTGTTAACCTTAAAACATTCAAGGGTAATTTCATGTGGATACTGAGGAAATGACTTGCCTCTGATTTATTAATCAATATTTGTGTGCAGCTCACTGAGGCTGTGTAGCTGGTATGTGTCTAGGCTTCCAATCATGTACCAACAGGTTTGTGCTATACCCTTCAGCAAATTAGCAGTTTATCTTAAGGGATATTCATGACTGAACAGATGTGGTGTGTATTCCCTTTTTGCACAGTTGCACACTGATAAGAAACAGATCAGCGTGGGGTTCATCGGCTACCCAAATGTTGGCAAGAGCTCTGTGATAAACACACTGCGCTCCAAGAAAGTTTGTAACGTGGCCCCCATTGCAGGTGAAACCAAGGTACGTCTGACTTGGACTTGACTTCCGCGTATTTTATTTCTGTCATGGGTGATTGTTTCAGACATAGGGATTTCTGTCTCTCCCCCTTTCACTTTTTCTTTTCTTCTGGGGATCAAACCCAGGGCCCTGCACATGCTAGGCAAGCATGAGGCCACTGAGCCACACCACCAGCCCCATCTGCTTTGCTTGGATAAAACCACTGTTGGCAGTTTAGTTCTCCATATACTAATTTTGAATGTACCAGGGGTTTTTTTTGTTGTTGTTGTTGTTTGTTTTGCTTTCCATTTCAGTAAGACTTGAGCATACTTCTTATGCCACTGTGTAGCTTTGGTGTAATTTRGTTAAGGCCATTTATATTTAAGCCTATTTCAAATTGTCATACCAGCCTTTTACTTTTTTTTKGGGGGGGTGGGTACTGGGTAGTGAACTCAGATGTACCCAACCACTGAGCCACATCCCCAGCCCTATTTTTTATTTTATTTAGAAACACAGTCTTACTGAGTTTCTTAGCACCTTGCCATTACTGAGGCTGGCTTTGAATTAGTGATTTTTTCTGTCAGCCTCCCAAGCTGCTAGGGTTAAGAATTCCTGGCTGAGCATGGTTGCACATACTCATAACCATAGCAACTTGGGAGGCTGAGCCAGGAAGATCACAAATTTGAGGCCAGACTCCACAGTCTAGCAAGATAGTTGTCTCAAAAATAAAGCCAGGCATGGTGGTGCAAACCTTTAATCTTAGCGACTCTGGAGGCTGAGGCAGGATGATTGTACATTTGTGGTTAGTCTCAGCTATATAATGAGTCCCTAAGCAACTTAGGGAGACCATGTCTCAAAAATAAAAAGAACTGGGGATGTGGCTCAGTGGTTGAGAACCCCTGGGTTCAGTCCCTGATACAAACAACAACATCAACAAAATGGTGGGGTGCTTGGAATGTAGCTTGGTAGTAGAGCATCTCTGGGTTCAGTCCTCAGTAACACACACCACAAAAAAAAGAAAACTCCACCTTCTGGTAGAATCCGAGAGTTGGAGGGCCAGGGAACATGGTTCGGTTTAGAGGTAAAGAGACAAACAGTACTCTGCTTCCAGACCACTTTAAACCCAGAGAATGGTTCACTGGGTGTTTCTGTGTGATGCTAAATGAAAATCCTGTCTCTGCATAATTTTTGCACTTTTAGCTGATGAAACCTGGGTCCTTGGTGGAAGTGTTGTGGGTGTGGCACAAACAGGAGAAAAGTACTGGATTATCCTGCAGGTTGCTTTGCTTTGACTCCTCCCTTCACTCTGCGCTTCTACTGCAGCAACCGTGCGATTGTGTGAAGTGTAGCTCTGAGCATTTGACTGAGGGGTGTCTCTGCTTTCAACTGCAGGTCTGGCAGTACATCACCTTGATGCGGCGCATATTCCTGATTGACTGTCCAGGTGTGGTTTACCCCTCTGAGGACTCGGAAACAGACATTGTGCTGAAAGGAGTTGTGAGTAATTTGGTCCCAAAGCCTCTGTTGCCTTTTGGGAAGTTTCTTAAGGAACACTGGGAACCTTTGCTTTCTTCCCATTCACAAGGCAGTTTCAGGTCAGCCTGTCCAACCAAACTTCGGGCACATGATACTGCACAGGGCAGCCTCTCTCTCCACTTCAGCCTGCTTGAGGAGTTAGTGAAACCATGAGCATATCTGGTCAGTATCATCTGTAGCAGAGTTTGTAGTTTACACACAGGATCCAAAGAGAAGCAGGGCCTATTTATGTTCAGTGATAATTCATCTTAGAGGGTTTATGGGTTGAGTCATTTTGGAGCCCAGTCATTTCCTCACTTGTTTCTGAATACAATCAAAAACTCTGAAGGCTCCCCTTGACCTTAACCATGCATCCTGTGTACATTCTTCCCTTCCATTCTTAAAACAATTCCATTCTTTTCGAGTTCTGGGATTGGCAGGCTGTTAACTATTTCTGCAAATGGGTAGCAGGAAGCATTCCATGGTCAAACTGCTTGTGGAAGCCACACAGTTTGGGTGAACTGTTAGAAAAGTTGAATTCTGGGCTCCATGGCTCTGGTATTTTCAGTGGTGCTTCCTGCTGCCAGCCATATGTAGCCATCTCAGAGAGAGGCTCCTGCCAAGTCCACTGGCCCTGTGATACTGAAACCTATTTCATGTTATGAAGAACACCAGAAACTTCCCTACCTCTTTACAAGCAAGAGATTTCTATGCACATGTAGGTTCAAGTTGAAAAAATTAAGACTCCTGAAGACCACATTGGTGCTGTCCTTGAGCGGGCAAAGCCAGAATATATCAGCAAGACGTACAAGATTGATTCCTGGGAGAACGCTGAGGACTTTCTTGGGAAGCTCGCTTTTCGCACTGGGAAGTTACTAAAGGTGATCCAGAGTCTGAGAGAATTTGGGCTGCTATACACTACAAGCATGTGTGTGTTTGGTGTGGAACTATTCTGTGTGCATTGTGTGAACAGTGTAAAACTTACCAAAAAGTGATAGCTGCGACAGCTGAAGTGCCCCCAAATTGGAGGTGGCGTTGTTCTTTGAATTTAATTGGGAATCTTTCCTAACATTTCAGGGTGGAGAGCCYGACTTGCGGACTGTGGGTAAGATGGTTCTCAATGACTGGCAGAGGGGCCGGATTCCTTTCTTCGTCAAGCCACCCAATGCAGAGCCACCAGCTGATCCCCAGGTAAGAATATGGTGGACCCAACTCTTGGAAAGCGTGATTGTSTACTCCGATGTGGTGTAACTTCTGGTTGCCTCCCTCAGTAGAGCATCTTTCTTTGTGGTAGCTATCTCAGCTGCAGTGACTCATTCCAGAGTGCCACTACTGTAACATTTATTTTGTTTGTTTATTTATTTGAGACAGGGTCTGACTAAGTTGCTGAGGCTGGCCTCTAACTTGGGGTCCTCCTGCTTCAGCCTTCCCAGTTGCTGTGATTATAGGCATGCATCACTGTGCTGGGCCCATGACTATATTTATTTAAAAAAAAAAAAATTTAGTTGTAGATGAACATAATACCTTTATTTTATTTAGGCATTTTTATGTGGTGCTGAGGATCAAACCCCATGCCTCATATGCTAGGCAAGTGCTCTACCATTGAGCTTCAGCCCCAGCCACCACCACCCCCGCCCTTCCCCGCCATTACTTTTTGAGAGTGGTGTCAGAGACTAATAAGCAGAAATAAAATAGGAGACCAAGCTTAAATACCAGCTTACAGGGCCTTAGGAAAGAAGGTTCATTAAATGTAAGGGATCTTCTGGTACCTCTGTCTTTTCTTCTGTATGAGGAATGGAGGCACTGCTAAGATTCATTTGTTTAACAAACATTTGTTAGAACCAACCATGTGCCAAGTGCATCATACACACCTGTAATCCTAGCAATTTGGGAGGTTTGAGGCAGAGAAATTACGAATTGGAGGCTAGCCTCAACAACTTAGTGAGGTTATATGCAATTTAGCAAGAGCCTGTCTCAAAATATAGAATGAGCCAGGTGTGATGGCCCACTCCTGCAGTCTCAGCAGCTCAGGAGGCTAAAGCAGGAGGATCACAAGTTCAAAGCCAGTCTTAGCAATTCAGCGAGACCCTGTTTCTAAATAAAAATAAAAAAAGAGCTGGGGTAGTGGTGCCCCTGAGTTCAATCCCCAGCACCTAGATAGATAGATAAATAGATAGATAGATAGATAGATAGATAGATAGATAGATAGATAGATAGGTAGATCCCCAGCACCTAGATAGATAGATAGATAGATAGAAAGAAAGAAAGAACTGGGGATGTGGCTGGGTGTTATGTGCCCCTATCTCTCCTGGTCCTGCTCACAGTTCATCATGTAGAGGTGATGCTTACGGAAAGAAGTCTTAGATTTGGAGCCTCTGACCTGAGTCAGGAAACTCCCTGGTTCCCTGACTTACCTGGACAGTGAGCTGCCTCAAGGTTCAAGGCTCTTTTTAGGGCCTGTTTCAAAACTCAACCAAGTCTCTTGAAGTGGTAACTTCAAATTTTGCTTCTGTTTGGGTGCTTATAGTTCTGGTTTCCTCTTAAAGATACTATTTCCAGAGTTGTAGTTGTAGCTAGATAATACCAGTTGGAACATTCTCCCAAAATTTTTAAAACTTAAAATATCTGAAGTGATGTTGATGAATTTTCCTTCTTCTCTCCCCTACTACACACCCATCCAAATTCTGTGCAGAATAGCTCCTCTCCCTTTTTGTTGTATATTAGGTCATTCATTTGTTGAGACATTCACTCACCTCCACTCCACCAGTGGAGGATCTGCTGTGGCCCGAGCCCTCAGGGTACTGGAGATGCTGCAGTGATTAGTGGGAGGGGCCTGATATTCCTCTGTGTGCGTATGCGTGTCCCCAGATATGTATCATTTCCCCACACCAATTCTGCAGTTTTCTAACACCAGCTGTGTGTCCAGCAATTTCATAGGATTCTTATACTAACTCTTGGAATTAGTGTGGACCCCACGGGTTGAGAGCTSTGTCCCACAAGGTTGCTCTCACTTCAGCTGCCAGTGGGATTCCCAGACAACTCCCACTTAGGCCCTACTGATTGCACATTTAGGGGTTCTAAGATTTGATAATTTTCTGGAACAAAAYAGTTTAGGAAGGTGCTTGCTTTATGATTACCAGTTTATTACAGATGATAGAGGTAAGTAARGGACGGCAAAGTGAAAGAGATGCCTGGAGCATGGGTGGAAGAGCAGGGAGCTTCCGGGTGCTTTCATGGTCTACAGGCACGTCATCCTGGAAGCCCTTGAGCCCCATCAGGGAAGAATGGTTATGAGGCTTCATTACACAGACACATTGATCAAGTCAGTGGCCATTGGTGATTGGGCTCCAGCCCCGCCTCCTTCCCCAGAGGTTGGGGTGGGGCTGAAGGTCATGCCTTTGTCTTTCTGGAGACCAGCCTCCATTCTGAAGCTACCTGGGAATCCCATCATAAGTCATCATATTAACTTAAATGCAGGTGTGAGGGAAAGGGGCTTATGAATAGCAAAAGAGACCCTTGGCCCTCAGGAAATGCCAAGATTTTTAGGAGCTCTGGGGCAAAAACTAAATGTTATCTGTCTCCTTAAATACATACATTAAAAAATGTATCAAGAAGTGTCATGTGCTATGAGGAAAACTCAACCGGGGTAAGGTGTTGAGGCAGGCAGAGAAGTTCTCCTGTGAGTAGGGAGCTTGGAACGGGCTTCTGAGAAGCAGCTTTCTAGCAGTGAACTTCAGGTTTGAAGCCTTTCAGGTATCTTGGGAGGAGAACATTCCAGGCAAGGGGAGCAGCACAGCCAGAGCACCTGAGATGGGGTGTCTGTGGCCTGCGCAGAGTGCTGGAGAGAAGTGGCTGGCTGAGTTGGAGGGGCAGGAGGCTGGGTCTAAACCAGCTGGAAGTCTGTGTGCTTGTGAGCCTGTGTCCTTCTTTCCTTTCTAGTCATTAAGTTTAGGTAATGAGTTCACATAATTCTTAAGAACTATCCTGCTGGGGCTGGGGGTGTAGYTCAGTGGTAGAGTACTTGCCTAGCATGCAGAAGGTCCTGGATTCCATATCTAACCCAGCCCCCAAAACTATTACGTTCTCCTACGCTGTGATTTTTTCCTTTCTTTTTCTCTATTGGTGATGCAGAAACCTCTTGAACTTGAAAGCTAAAAATTGCCTCACTAGAAAAATGGACAATCCTCCTGGATTTTACAGATTCCTGACGAATTTAGTGCTTTGCCACTGGTTTTTTTTTTTTTTTTTTTTGAGCTAGAGATTGAGTCTAGTACTTGGTGCATGCTAGGCAAACACTCCACCACCAAGCTACTTCCTCAGCCCTACTTACCTGCTCTTCTTTGGGAAATCATTTGAGTTCTGTGAAAAAAAAAAAAAAAATCCAGTTATTCCAGCATTCTTGGACTTTCTTCTTTTAAGACACCTCCTCCTCACATGCCTCTCCTGGTCCTGCTCACTGTTCAGCTCTTGTTTCATCTTCATATGGTGGCATGTGCTTATCTCAGTAGCTCCATGTTCATCACAGTACTCTCCAGGAACATCTAGGGAACATTACCTGTCTGTACTAAATGATCGATTGGTTTTCCCTGGTTCAATACTGTTAAAATGGGTGCATCTTTTAGAAGTGCATATCAGTTCCTTTGATCCTTTGTTTCTGGATCTGACATATATTGGCTTAGAATAGATGAAGGATGTGACTCAAATGTAGATATTTTCCATACTTCTCTTGGTTCTAAGATGTTGGCTGCTCATTCAAGAGCAAGGTGTGAGCTCAGGCATTTGCTTCCTTTTCTGATTCTATTTCTCTCCCGGCTTCTGCTCCTTCTTGGCCTCAATAGCTTCCACCACCCTCATCTTTGGAAATTGCCACAGAAACAACCCAGAACAACCCAGAAGAGGAAACCACAGAAACTGTAGGTAAAGGGTCAGAATCCGTCATTGAGGGAAAAAAAGAAGAGGACAGTTCCTGCAATGCCAGCTCAGAGATGCAACAGATCCTCACAAGGGTTCGCCAGAACTTTGGCAAAATCAATGTAGTGCCCCAGTTTTCTGGGGATGACCTGGTTCCTGTGGAGGTGTCAGATATTGAAGAAGATCTGGARAGCTTGTCTGCTGAGGAGGTGGAAGAAGAGGAGCAGCCAGGGGAGGAAGATGAGGCCGAGTCTTACCAGGAGTCCCTGGAAGAGCCAGGGCAAAGTGACACCAAAGCAGTCATTAAAGCCCTGGATGAGAAGATCGCAAAATACCAGAAGTTTTTAAACAAAGCCAAAGCTAAAAAGTTTTCAGCCGTCAGGTAATATTTTCACCATTAAATGAATTGCATTTGTTCTTTTCCCCAAAACTTGCCACAAGTATGGGAAAGGGTGTGTTTGTTTTTAGTGCTAGGGGTGGAACTTGGGGCCTGGAGTGCACTAGGCAAATGTTCTACCACTGAGCCTACCCACCCCTATCCTGGCAGTACATGTGTGTGGGTGGCGGTCATTGCAGATTTTAAGAAGAAATTGTGTGAATCTTGTCACATTTAGCTCCCTGAAGCATGAGAAAATTAGTTATCCAGTATCTTAGAAATGCCCAAGGAACTCCACCAACTTTTTCCCCTGGTGTTAACCATGCAAACAGGAGTGGAGTTTCTTTATTTTAGAGGTTGTTGCAGGTCTCCAAGGCACCCTGCTGCAGGTGACTGAAGAGAATATTGGGCCRCTTCATTACTTTGCTTTTCTGTTTCAGAATATCCAAGGGGTTAAGTGAAATGGTTTTCGCCAAACCTGAAGAACAGAGAAAATCATCTAAAGAAGAAAATGATATAGGTGAAGATACATTATTTAAATCATTTAAATGTGATTTGCATCTTTAGAATTTTGGGAACCTAAGTGGAACTTCCAGGTGACCTCTACTGGCATCCACACAGATACATGACCTGGTTCTCCATAGTATTAATCATAAAAATTGGGTTATCTGCTTCTCATTGTTCACTTTGTCAGGATTAACTTGGCAATTCAGGAATCATCTTTCTAAGAAGGGTACAGTGTTAGTCTAAGAATCTAAGGGTGGGTCCACAGACAAATTGGAGCAGGGACATTACATGAATTTGTTCTTGACCCCTTCTGACTGAGAGCTTCCACATCAGGAGTGTTTATGTAACACGAAAGCAAACCCTGCTATRGTCTGTGTGGTCTGACCTGACCTGGCACCCTCCCCACCCTGCCTTGTCCTGCTTTACTGTATGCTGTGCTCACCTGCCCCATCCACTGGCCACCTTCCTCCTCCTCTCCACCGTGGAAGTCAAGGGCAAACTTTGAATAGAAAATTTGAATGTGTGTTTTATGTATCATTTAGATCCAGCACCTACTAAAAAGGGAAGGAAGCGGAAGGCTCAGAGGGAAGAAGAACGTTCAAGTAAAACTCCAAGGACACTTACATCTAAGGAAGTAAGTGCTTTAGTTCCCAAGACCCAGGTGTAGAAAGTAGGGAGAAGTGCAGTTCTCAGGATGCACTTTCTGAAACAAATGTGGGTCTAGAGCTGAATCCTAGGAACCCCAGACCTCAGCTACCTGGTTGAAGTCACTTAAATAGGGTCAAGAGGTGGCCAACTGGACAGATGTCATAAGTCCATGGAATTTGTTCCTGGGTACTRTCTTCCACTTTGTGACCTACCTTTTGGAAGAGTTGGTTGTTTTGTGTGGTCCCGATGACCCGAGGAGCAGAACTGGCTAGGCAGGCAGATCACTGACCTCTATGAGAACAGCTTTGTGACCGCGCRCTGTGGAGCTGGAGCAAGCCCTCCAGGGAGAACAGATTTTCAGGAATGCCACAAAGGATTCAGGCATCAGAGGTGGGGTTGGGGGCTGGACCAAATGTGAATCAGGAAGGGGTCAACAGGTCTGTGTGGGGGACCTCTCTTTAGCCCTGTTTCACTAGTTGTAAGGGAGGTGGAGTGGTAAGAGACAGGCTCCCGTTTTATGACTTTCAGCGCTTGATTGGGGTTTTTTTTTTTTTTTTTGCAGCGAAGGCGAGCAGCACGGCAGCAGCAATCCAGAAAAGTTGGTGTGCGCTACTATGAAACACACAACGTGAAAAATAGGAACAGGAACAAAAAGAAGACCAATGACTCTGAGGGACAAAAACACAGACACAAAAGATTCAGACATAAGCAGTAACATGTAAAAAATTGTTTATTAAATTATATTATACAAAAATATACAATTAGAAATTGTAGTCATTTTCTTCATGCCCACTTGGCATTTCTAAGGACACAGTGCACGTGTTCTGAGGCTTGACAGATGCAGCCATTCACTGGTGCCGGTGAAAATAAAGCCCTCAGCCCTACTGAGTTCCATCSTCAAGTCCATTGACCTCTCCAAACACTTGAGTCAGCTCTGAGTTCCTCCAAGTGTGCCTCTGGCTGTCTGTGTGCTGAAATGGGGTCTGAGATGCGCAGAGTGCAGAATGGTAATTTCCTTTGAACTGCCAGGCAGCAGCGTGTGTGGAAGCTCATAGAGCTGTAGCGTGTTTCAAGGATGTTTGGTATACCTGGCCGTACTTTTAAGATATGAGAAAAAAGCTCTGGCAACTTTTGTCCCTCATTAAGTGGACCCATTTAGGACATGCATGCTTTGCTGTCACGAGTCATGGGACCACAGACCTCAGGGAATGGAGTTATTTTCCATGAAGATGGCAGCACAGGCAGGTCACTTGAGTGGACTTATAATTCCTCAAGACACTGGGTACGGRTCAAAGCTGTGGCTTGCAACCTGAGATTAGAGTGGTGGGGTGTGCTCTAGGAACACAGCTCTTGTGGGACTAGTTTTCCCAGTGAGCCTTGAAGCCCTAATCTAGGAGGGTGTTATGTTAGAGCTCTGCCAAGGAGTCAGTCTGTCCTTGCACTTCAAGGGATACTGAGTGGCATTTCAAGCCCGTGAAATGGTAGTGCCTTCCTATGGAACCAGACTTGGGAAACTTAAACTGCATGATGGATGTCACCTGGCTTGCTGTCCTGGTCTGCCCAGAATTAAGGATTTGTGTCACTAATTCAATCCTCTGGGTCTACAGAAGCTRTCTGCAGGCCATACTCTCTGGTCATTAATAATTAGCATGGCCCCTGGGCACAGTGGCATATGGTTGTAATCCCAGCCACTTGAGAGGCTGAAGCAGGGGGATTGCAAGTTTGAAGCCAGCCTCAGCAACTTAGTGAGACCCTGCCTCAAAATTTTAAAAGACTAGCTCAGTGGTAGAGCACCCCTAGGTTCAGTCCCCAGTACCATGCACACGCACACGCGCGCACACACAAAGTAATAGAAACTGCATACAAGAGACGGTTACCTCTCCAGTTGTTTAAACAGGTAACTATGGGGATGTGGAGTTAGAGTTCAATTTTCTGCAGAATAAGGTGAATGATGTCTATGGGAGGGAGGAGCTGAGGTATGGACAGCTCACAAAGGACACTGGGACTTGGATTCCTTTCCAGCAAACATTTACTTCCTCCACAGACTGGGTCTGCTGCTGCCGCTGTTCTCTGAACTCTTAGACTGAGGAAGAGATCCAGTTGATGTGGTGGGTGGGGATGAGACCATACAGCAGAAAAACAAAGCTCCAAAATGAGTTACCAAAACTGCATTGGTTAGGAATGAAAATGGAATGACCGAGGCCAGAGAAGCCCCAGTTAGGATACAAGGGAAACTGTGAACCAGACATTTGAGAGACAGGAGTAGCTTCCTTTGGCCACAGATGGATGGTGGATGAGATGGGAAAGCAATTCCTTCTCAATCTTACTATTTGAGTTGGCGAATGTCCTGGTTGGCCCACAAGTTGCATACCGAGACTATCAGGGTCACGCCACCCTCTTGCCTAACCAGGAGCCTGGTTGCCAGACTGTAGGTGTCCCATGCCACGGGGGCAATAGTGTGACTTCTGACAAATGTATAGGTGGTGGTCAGGGGAGGGGATGGCTTGTTCACTCAGGAAACTAGCTTTTTATTACAAAGGGCTTGTGATGGGGTGGTAGTGTTCGCTGAGACCCATATGGAAATTATCACTTCTTTGGTGCAATAATGCCTTCCAGTTGGGCCTGAAAAACAAAACAAACCATTAATGCTTGAAGCTTGCAGCCTAACACAAATAGCTGAGAGGTGATAAAGTCTCTGGGAAGAATAATCCAAATGCTGCCACTCCAAGTGTTCTTTTCTCCCCCCTTCATTCTCACTCCATATTTTCGGGATTAGCTGGTTTCTGGCTTGGCGTAGTCTTGTTACACCAGGAGAAACCAGAACTGTCCTGGTTTCCATACAGTAATGGCTCAGTGTATAATATAAAGCATTGAAAAGGAAATTGAATAAAAGTTGTTGAAATAGTGGTTTTTCATTGCTCAGATTTCAGGCCTGAATGTGTCTGCTCTTTGGTTTAGGATCCTGGGATCTCTGCTGGGACCAGAGGTTTGGGAAGCAGCAAATTATCAGCCACTAAGACAACTTGACACCCAATTAGAGAAAATTGCTACCAGTGAGTTGGGAGCTGTCCATCTTGTAGGTAAAGCTTAAGACACTTGGGAGTTATTTACCCGGCTTCTCTGGTAGCCGGTACAATAATTTACTATCATGGTATGTGAACAGATCTTTAAGTAGGTCTATCCTGGGGACTGCAAACACTGCTTTATTTGCAGTGCAGCTTTGAGCCAATAAAAGAAACTCACTTCTAAAGAATCCTTCACCCTGGGGATTACAAGGTTGCTCTTGAATGTTAAAAAGATGCTAAGGTATTCAGCTTCGGAAAACCGTGTAAGTAGGACTTACAACAAAGGAATATGGCGGATAAAGGAAGATGGCAGATAGGGAAGCAGCTTTCAGGGGTAGCTAGGTAAGTGATCACATTGCTGTGAAATTTTCTAGCTTTACCAAGGGTGCAGTGGTGCACACCTGTAATCCCAGTGGCTCAGGAAGCTAAGGCAGGAGGATTAGGAGTTCAAAGCCAGCCTCAGCAACTTAGTGAGGCCCTAGGCAACTCAGGGAGAACCTGTCTCTAAAATACAAAAACGGGCTGGGGATGTGGCTCAGTGGTTAAGTGCCTTTGGGTTCAATCCCTGGTACAAAATAATAATAATAATAATAATAATAATAATAATAATAATAATAATAGAATAAAGAATTCTTGCTTTTCTTTAACTCTTTGGTAATAAGAATCTTTTCTGATGGTGGTTAATACAAAGGCTTCTTTATCACAAATAGCTGGCCTTTTTGGTTTGTGGAGCCAACACACCTGCTGATCTCAAGAATGTAAGCTCTCCTTGCAATTAGGGAGGAGGCGGCCAGGGTTGTGGGAGAAGTGGCTCAATGTCAATAGGCTATGCWTCTAAGAGAGTGCCTAGGGCCTCAGCGGACACCAGGACTTCGGGAGGCCTTGTTGAAGTTTTCTGGTTCAGCAGATGCAGGGAGTGCCCAAACATCTATTTCCACAAGCTGCCCCCGATGAGGATGATGCTAGTCTGGGGTCAAACCTCTGAAAATCTTTGGCTCAGTCAGGGAGCATAGGGTTGCAGAGGCCTGTGACTAGCCTTCTGTTGGACCAACCTTTCCCACCAGCATGGCTCCCAGCACCTTATATAGATGGGAGCATGTCACCAGTTCTTGGACCCTGAGTAAGGAAGACCATCTACAGGGGGTGCTTGAGACCGAATGCCTGGGGAGGTCCTCAGCTTTTTTTTTTTTTGGTACCATGGACTGAACTGAGGGGCACTCGACCCCTGAGCCACATCCCCAGCCCTATTTTGTATTTTATTTAGAGACAGGGTCTCACTGAGTTGTTTAGCGCCTTGCTGTTGCTGAGGCTGGCTTTGAACTTGTGATCCTCCTGCCTCAGCCTCCCAGGCTGGGGATTTCAGGTGTGCGCCATCGTGCCTGGGAAGGTCCTCAACTTGAAGTGTCTCTTCCTCCCAGGGGGCTTTCCTTCTCTGTGCACCCACTAACTTGGCCTTCTCTGCTTCTGCCCCAGACATGGAACCCCAGTAGATGCCAGGAGGACAGTCAGCCCATGAAGGAGAACTCCAGCTTTGAGGGGAGGGCGCCTCTACTTTCCGCCATATCCTCCTCTCTGGGGTTAGGCRACTTTTCCCAGGGCAAAAAGTCTTCTCCTAGAGAATCAGGCTGATGTGCCATGGGGTCAGAGTTGAGAATGGAGCCCGTCCAGAGCCAGAGGGATGGAGGGCCCTCGTCATGGGCCTGCCCCACCCCAATGTCAGCTTCCTTTACCCCATGGAAGTGCGTATGGACCAACACGTAAAGGCCACGGGGACTGTCCAGCCCATGAGGCTGGGGACCAGTGCTGTGRGAGCACCGTGGCCTGGGCCTCCATCACCTTCAGCTGCTGATTTGTCCGCTTCAGGAACTGAATCTCCTCATTGTGCTTCTTCTCCTCCACCTGTCGCCGCTCGGTCTCCCGCTTCTCAGTGGCCTCGCATTTTGCCTTTTGCTCGTTCACTTGCCTCTCCAAGTCTCTCTTTTCCGTTTCCAGTTCTGCAATCTGAGGGCACAATACTCAGTCATCCTGGGATGTTGCCCAAGGATGGGWGGTGTGAGAGCCTGGGTGGTGAGGACTTGGGACACCACAGCTGTCCAACCTGACATTGCCAGGGTATATACTGCCACCAAGTGGGAGGTCAGTGACTGGCACGGAGCATCCTCAGGGAGACCAGCAAGCCAAGACCATGTACGTGGCTGGCTGTTACACCCAAGCAAGGGTCCTCCCTGAATGACAGGCCCAGAGTCATGAATGTGAGGAGGGCACCCTAGCAGCCAGAATGCAGTGCGGCAATGACAACAGAGTGGCCCTGGTATCAACAGAAGAGCCTGAGGGCCAGGGGGCATGGTAAAACCGACTCACTTTCTTCTCCATGTCTGACTTCCCCTGCTCAGCCTGCAGCGCCTTCCTCATGCCAAACGCCACGCTGCTCTCGTACAAGGTCTGGTAGGCAGCGATGGTCATGCGAATCTCGTCCCGGACTCGCAGTAGCAGCAGCCCCCTCTCTGCACAGTTGATGGTCACCTCCCGGATCAGCTCATCTTCCAATATGCACAGCGCAAGATCAGAGAAGGCAGGGGCAAGGGGACATGCACCTTGCCCATGGCAAGCCACCCTTCTTCTTGGAAGGGCCCTAGGGTGTGTTCTCACTTGGAGCTGAGGTCTCAGGGAGACCTAATGGAGGGCACCTTCACTGGCCCAAGAGTCTGCCATGCAGCCACCCCGTTCCATTTAGCACAAGGAACAGCACCCAGCCAGCAAGAAGGGGTTGGCCAACGCACAGGGAGACTAGGAACCCCAGGTTTGTTTGTGGTAGTGGGTCCCCCTCAGCTAGAAACTGGGAACTAATGCAGAAATCTGACTTTTTCGGTGAGAAGATGGTGGCAATTTTAAAGCAGCCCCTTAGGCTGGACTGATCTGTGGCTGAGAACAGCAGGGTCTTAGAGCACACATAATCACCTTTTTTTAATAACTTTTATTTTTTTAATATTTATTTTTTAGAAGTAGTTGAACACAATACCTTTATTTTTATTTATTTTTATGTGGTGCTGAGGATCGAACCCAGGGCCTCGAATGTGATAGACAAACACTCTACTGCTGAGCCACAACCCCAGCCCTTATTTTTAGCTCTTTATTTTTATGTGGTGCCGAGAATCAAACCCAGGGCCTCACATGTGCTAGGCAAGTGGTCTGCCACTGAGCCACAACCCCAGCCCACATAATCTCCTTTATAAACATATAAAATCTCCTTTATAAAGCTGGAGGGTCAACCACAATCATAGTAAGACTGAGAGGAGCTGCTCAAGAGTTTAGAGGCAGCGAGCGTGCAGATTAGAATCCAGCCACTGGACACCTCAGGGTGGCAGATTTTAAATCCCTTGTGTCTACTGAGGGACAACAAATTAGTTTTGCAACATTTTTCTGGGCTGAGTACTGAATGCTGATGGATATAAATACCAAACATTATTTTTTTCTGATTAAAAAATTAGCTCAGTGGATCCTCATAGCAACCATGAGGATCTGGGTTTGACCTCCAGCATTATAACAAAAAACAAAACAACAACAACAACAAAAAAAAMCAAAAACATGTGCTTATTGTGACTATCTTTGAAAAGGCCAAGATTTAAAATGGAAGCTCTTATTTGACTCCAAATGTGTGAGAGATGAAGAAACCAGATCATCAGAGTACAGTGACTGGCAGGTGGGGGCCTGTTGGGACAGGTGGTTGGGAGGGGGAAGGAGTTCCACTTGGCAGTTATTGGGTGGGTCAAGAAGGGTGAAAAGAGGTGATTTCAACATGGGAAGGGCTTCAGCTCAGAGGTGCTCAGAGCCAGATCTGTGCTGAAGGGAAGGAAGGAGGCGGGGGTTGTGTGGTACCCACCCCCACCTYGCCCACTCACCAAAACACTGTGAGTAGAGCTCCCTGCGGACAGGGCAGATGCCCGTCTCCCTGGCTTGCCGCTGCTGCAGCTTCAGGTCCAGCTGCTCCTGGAGGTGCACCACGTCCATCCTGGTGCTGGGGGTGCTGGACACCTGCTGGATCCATAGCTGTGTATCCTCCACCCACTCCCTGCGGCACAGACACAGCCACGCTGAGCAGAATCCACATGCTTGAGAGAGTTCTCAGGACATCAGCAGAGAGATCTCTTTGTGTTCTCGGCCTGAGCAGGAGTGAGGGGCAACTCTGCCACCATCCCACCAGAATCCCTCACTCCACTCCTGTGGTGTGGGTTCCAAAACCATACTTGCTTTGCTGCCCCACAGAAAAGGATCTGGGGAACAGGGCAACRTCTACTCCCCAGGTGGTCTTCATGAAATCATCACCATTGCTGCAGATTTTACCCTCCTAACATGATTTACATTGTGTTGCCTGATCTGTGTGGAAGGCCCAGTGGAACTCTCCACTGACTTAAGGAGTAAGAGACACAAGATTCCATAAACCTTGTGCAAGCCAGAAAGAGGCAAGTGTGTGTGCAGGGGTTGGGGAGGATCTTGACGGGGTGTGCCTGCATGGGCTACCCACAGGGAACTTCATGGTGGAGTAACAACCAGGGTCTGGAATCACCACATAGGAGACGTGGAGGAGAGAACTTCAGTGCCACTGGTGGGAGGGGATCAGCTGACACATCGCTTCCCTCCATTGACCTCCTTCTCAGAGGAGATGGATTTCTGTTTGCCTGTTTCCTCTTTTCATTAAAGCCTTAAAAACTGCTGTCAATATGTTACATAAGAACAATACATTACATAAGAACAGTTGAGTGGCTGGAGATATAGCTCAGTGGTAGAGTGCTTGCCTCCCATGCACAAGGCCCTGGGTTCAATCCCCAGCACCACAAAAAACAAACAAACAAACAAACAAACAAAAAACAGGAAGGCTTCACCTGGAAGAAATGATGTTTCTTCTGATAGAAGAAATGAAGGGAATAGTAAAGGAAGAGTATCCTTGGAAGTGAGAACAGCAATTGTTAAGGCCCTGAGGTGGGAGAGTGATTGAAGTGCTTCAGAAAGGCAAGTGGAGACCCCTGGGGCAGTGAACAGGAGAGAAAATGGGGGATATCATGGGCTAGGCCGTTCTACATCTTTGAAGCTACTGTAAGGACTTCAGGCTTTACTCTGAGTGAGGTAGGAGGTCATTACAGGTGGAAGACTTGGTCTGATCTGATTTATGTGGAGAACACTGTAGAAGCAAAGAGTGGAAATAGGGTTTTTAAACAGGCCATCGCAAGTAGTATGGGTGACAGAGACCAGGGACAAGATGGCAGAAAAACTTGGTGAAAAGTGGTTGGCCCAGGGAGATAAATTGAAGGTGAAGTCAAAAGAATTTCTTGAAGGATAAGACAGGTGGCGTGAGAGACCAAAAGCATTGAAAGGCAACCTGTGTCTCTAGCAGAAAGAAGACTRAGATGGGGCAGTGGGAAGAGGAAGAAACTGTGGTTTCATTTGGACATGTTGAACTTGAGATGCCTATGGGACAACTTGGTGAAGGCACTGAGGAAGAAGTAGACTATATGGTCTGGAATTTAAGAGAGAGGACAGGGCCGAAAATACACATTTGGGATCCATCAGTATACAGATGGCATCTAAAGCCATCAAACTGGCTGAGAACACTCAGGGTAGATTTAAGGTTTCCCACCACCCTCCCAGAATCCAGCCATGTGCAAGTTCTAGGAGCTCTAAGAGGCAGGAAGGAGATCCCAGCCAGGAACTAAGGCAAAGTGCCTCTCCCTGCATTTCTAAATATTCTGGGATAGAAAAGCCTTCTCCCAGTCATTGCTCATTTTTTTTTTTTTTTACCTTGGGGGCAGGATGGCATTCAAGATTTCTTCTGCCTGCTTTGTAGGATCTGGGATACAGGAAGTTGAGGGGAGCTTGGCTTTGGGTGGCTGTGGGACTGGACCTGAGGGTCCAGGCTGCTGGGGGCTGACTTTCAGAGGCCGAGCCTAAGAGGAAGGAACAGGAGATATTTCAGGGATTCAGCTCCACACAGCCTGGTCCTCTGGATTGCTCCAGGTCTTCTGCCAGTCTCTCCATCCCAGCCTACTTTTCTCATCTGTCTGCTCAGCAGAAATGTCTGAGCTGAAGCCAGCCATGAAGAGTCTCTGGTCCCAGCCCAATGATTGAACTGATGTTTCTGGCTCAAGTGATCTGTCACTGCTATAGTGATGGGAAATCACTGCCTGATCTACTYTTGAACCCAGCTACCATGAACCACAGCCAGCTTCATCCGTTTCCTTGTGACTTCTTTCTCATTCTAAATCTCTGCTCTAGGGTCACACCCAACATTTGGGCCTTCTCTAGTGGTACTGGGGATTGAACCAGGGTCTCATGTATGCTAGCCAATTGCTCTACCACTGAGCTACATCCCCAGCCCCATCGGGCTTCTGGCACCCCTCTCCCACCCCTCTTCCCTGACCCAATTCCCTTTACTGCCAGTCTCTGCAATTCTAGTCCCTTGGGGTTCCCGACCTTCGGCTCTGAGATCTGTCTTTCCCCGTTGAAGCTTTCAGGTCTCTCATCCCCTGAAACCCGTCCTTACTTTGGGGCTCCGTTTCTCAGTGTTCCGGCTCACCAACACCGGGGTGTCATACTTGAGCAGAGAGTCAGCAGGGGGAATCATGCCGGCGGCTGGGACTGCGGCTCAGCAGCTGGCCCTCTAGTCCCGGCCTTGTTTACGGTAACCACGGAAACCCCCTGGCCGGGGCGGGGCTTCTGAGTGGGGTGGGGCCATCAGCGCGCGGATTTCATTCCAAACAGCCGGCTTCAAACCTCCTGTTCTTGGCTTCCCAGGCCTCCTGTTCATTGGTTCGTCCTGTACTTTCCGGAGCAGGGAAAACAAGGTTCAAGTTCCTACACTGCGTCTAGTTTGCTATTTGAATGGGATGGAGGGATCACTTTTGCTGAACCTCACTTTTGACTACTGAAAAATGGGAGTCATCTCCTGACCCCTGAGTAAAGGGTTGGGGACGATTTCCGAAGAAGACATCGAGTTTAAAAAAGTATTTTTTAAAATTAAATGGAGCCGTGCGTTCGAGGCCAGCCCCACCAAATTAGCGAGGCCCTAAGCAATTTAAACCATGTCTGAAAATAAAGAATAAAAAGTGCTGAGGGGGCTGGGGTTGGGCTCAGTGATAAGCGCCCTTGCCTAGCATGCGTGAGGCACTGAGTTAGATTCTCAGCACCACATACAAATAAATAGAATAAAAGTCCAACAACAACTAAAAAGTATTTTTTTAAAATAGTGCTGGGGGTGTAACTGAGGGGTAGAATGTTTGCCTTGCATACACGAGGCCCTGAGTTCAGTCCCCAATACTGAAAAAAGTAAATAAATAAATGGAGAAATGACAGTTTCACATAAAGTTGAGGAAATAGAGGGAAAATATGCTAGTGATTTGCTCATGTGCTACCACATATGATTGCATTTCAATCTCTTCATTCCTTCATATTTCCAAATGCCAAAGTAATCGCAGTTTAAGCACAATTTTGTATCCTGCTTTTTCGTCTAAAAGTCAGGTTTTAGGGTTAGGGGGGTAGCTCAGTGGTAGAGCTTCCCCAGTATGCGCGAGATCCTAGTTTCGATCCCCTGTCACAAAATTAAATTTTTTTTATTTGCCATTGTTTGCAAATAATATACTAATAACCACAATCCATCCAATAATCGACTAAATGATTCACTATTGCCATGCATTTGGATTATCTCCATTTACAATTACTAATAACGGAGCAACAAAAAGCCTTGGAAAGTGAAAAAACTCAGAAGTTTGCTCCCCCCCCCCCAAGAGTAGAAACAGCTTTATTGATTATAATGAATTTCAAACGTAGAAACAGAAATAATAACAGTGGCCAAAATTTACTAAGCCTTTAAAACTGTGCCAACAATTATATGCTGACAGTTAAGTTTTCGTTATGAAATATAAAGGGCTGGGGGTGTAACTTGGAGGTGGAGCGCCAAGGTCTACCCATGAAGTAGTCACAAGTTTGCTTTTGAAACTTAAAATTCCCGCCTCCCGAGATGGGCCAATTGCGGTCCCGCCCAAGAAGGAATCGTCACGTGCTCAGCTTCTCCGCCGCGAGGGCTTCTGGGAGAGTGCGTACCCGGAAGCGGAAGTTCGGTGGCCAAATTCGTCATTTCCTTCAGGGAGAAGAGCTTAACGGACCTATTTTTTCTTTCGCTCAACCAAACTCGCAGAATGAAGGAGATGAAGAGCGAGAGGGAGCGAGGAAGCCGGCGAAGGCACCGGGATGGGGACGTGGTGGCGGCAGCGACGGTGGTGGTGAAGCAGGAGCGCCTCAGCCCGGAAGCCGCGCCTCCAATCCACCGCCGTTCGGACTTCTCCGGCGGCAGCCCGTCCCCGCCGCCCGGCGAGGCCGGCCGCCCCGGCCACCGTGGGAACCGAGCCCGAGGAGTTAGCCGGTACGTGGGAAGCAGCCCGAGTGGACCTTAGGTCGAGCTGATGGAGAAAGGAAGGCAGAGCTAACGTCAGAAATAGGCCTCGAATGCCGAGCGCAGCGGCCTGGGCTTAATGCTGAGACGTTGGGAGTGACCCCAAGGTGCCCGTATTAAAGAATGTTTACTCCAGCACCGGTCACTTGCATTGTAGCTGGATGTTGAGAGTCCAAAGYTTATTACGGGCAGGATCCCGCCCCTTCATTCTTGTGTCCCCAGCACTTAGTACAGTACGGCCCAGCGGGTAGCACTGGTCGTCCGAGTTGAATGTCTCCCCATCTGCACAAGAATGGAGTGCAGGTGGTGTCTTTCCAGTTACCTGCCCCAAAAGATTGATAGGATTGATCCAGAATCTTGGCAGGGGAAACAACATGGGCAAAGAACTTAAAGTAGAATTGTCATTGTCTTAGAAGCTAGGGGGAAAAATGTATTTGGAGYCTAGTGATTGAAGCAGATAGAGTGTTAAGGAGGAGGCAGAGCACAGGACTTGTGATTATTGGGGAAGGCAGGGTGTTGGTGGTGAGGAAAAAAACAGAGAGGCCAAGAGCAGCTTCTGGATGGTGGTACCAATTAGAGAGATGACACAGACTCTGAGAAGAAAGGTTTTTGAGGGTTGAGAACCAAGAGTTATGTTACCCAAGTGAGAAAGTTCAGTAGACAGTTTGTTATATATGAGTGTCTGGAACTCAAGGGAGATATCAGGGCTGGGAAAATGAAGCCTCTGACTCCATTGGAGCTCAGCAGAGATCTTCACAAATGTGATGTTTGTGTTTAGTTGGTAAGCCTGATATTTAAAGCTAACTTATGTGGGGGAAGGGAAATTGAGATAAAATCCTGTGTACCATGCTCTGAAAAGGTCCCCAGCCAAAAAGAAAAACAAGACTTCAGGGAGAAGAAGCAAGTCTCCTCGGAATAAGAGAAGCCGAAGTCCTCATCACTCAACAGTCAAAGTGAAGCAGGTAAGTGGATTGGGTGTTTTGATAATTTGTCCAAATCTAGAGTCACATCACTTGCCATCTAGCTAAAGTGTATATGTGTGTGTTCTGCAGTGGGCTTCTAAAAGCTGGGTGTGTTTGCTTTTTTTTTTTTCTGCTTGTTTTTTTAAATTAGCTTTTTGTTTTGAGTAATTGTTCATTTACATGTGTTGGTTATATTTGTCACAATTAATAGAAAGGTGTACTCTACCTTGTTTTTGCTAATAGTAAAATCTTTCAGAGCTATAGTGCAGTATCACAATTGGAATTTTGTTGATACAGTCAAGATACAGCATGTTTCTATCACCCTGATATTGTCCTTTTGTAACCACACCCATTTCTTTCACAGTTTTATCTTTATTTAACTCCAGGAGGCTTCTAATCTCTTCTGGAGGCTGCTAATCTGTTTTCCATTTCTATACTTTCGTTATTTCAAGAGTGTTACATAGGAGCTGGGGCTATGCGCGAGCGTGTGTGTGTCAGTCACTAGGTTCAATTCTCAGCACCACATAAAAATAAATAAATATGGGGCTGGGGATGTGGCTCAAGCGGTAGCGCGCTCGCCTGGCATGCATGCAGCCCGGGTTTGATCCTCAGCCCACATATAAACAAAGATGTTGTGTCCGCCAAAAACTAAAAAATAAATATTAAAAATTCAAAAATAAATAAATAAAGATATTGTGTCCATCTACAACTAAAAAATATTTTTTAAAAAAGAGAGTGTTACATAGATAGAATCATATGGTATGTGACCTTTGAGATTAGATTTTTTTCATTCAACAAAGTTCTTTGGATTTCATTCAGGTTGTTGCATCCATCAGTAGTTTCTTCATTCCTTTTTACTGATGAACAGTGTTCAGTGGTATGGATTTAGCCATTTGCCTGTTAAAAAAACAGGTGCTTTTCATTTTGGGGCTGTTGAACAYATAGCTGCTGTCTGATCATTTGTGTATAGGTTTTTCTGGGAACATTTCATTTCTCTGGATTAAATGCCTACAAGTGAATTGCTGAATTGAATGGTAGTTGCATTTTTAATTTCTTAAGAATTGCCAAATAGTTTTTCTGGAGTGATTATTAATTTGCCAAGGCTGCCATAAAAATATCATAGACTAGGTGGCTTAAATAATGGATTTATTTTCTCATTGTTCTGCAAGCCAGAAGTCCTAGATTAAGGTCAGCAGATTTAGTTTATTCTGAGACTTTTCTCCTTGGTTTACAGATGGCTGCCTTCTTGATGTGTCCTCACACAACCTTTCTTCTGCACAGACTTACCTGTTGTCTGTTTTTTTTTTTTTTTCTTTGTGTGTGTGTGCGTTGCTGGGGATTGAACCCAGGGTCTTGTGCCTGGGAGGCAAGCACTCTACCAACTGAGGTATATCTCCAGCCCATGTTGTCTATCCTTAAAAAGGACACCAGCCATATTGGATCAGGGACCCACCTGATCCAATTTTATAGCCACGCCTACTGTTTAACCACACCCACTTTCACAGTTTTATCTTTATTTAACTCATGGAGTTAAATAGTTTGTTAATTATTATGAAATACAGTTTAACTTAATCATGTATTTCCAGGCCTCATCTTCAAAAAATGGTTACAATCTGAGTATTGTGGTCTTGGAACTTTAATATATTAATTTTGTGGCTGTACCATTTTACATTCCCACCAGCAATGTATGAGTGATCCAATTTCTCTGCCCATGCCCCCTTTTTAGGGGCAGTTCTGGGGTTGAATCCAGGGCCTTGTTCAAGCGAGGCAAGTATTCTACCACTGAGCTACATGAATTTTTGAGACAGGATCTCAGCAAGTTGCCCAGGCTAGCCTTGAACATGGAGTCAATCTCCTGAATAGCAGTCATAACTTTTTGCCTAACTCTAGATCCTGAAGATTTCCTACTATATATTTTTTCTTTTTCTTTTTTTTAAGACATACTAGAAACAGATTTATCAAAAATAAAAACAGGGGCTGGGGACTTGGCTCAAGTGGTAGCGCGCTCGCCTGGCATGAGTGCAGCCCAGGTTCGATCCTCAGCATCACATACAAAGATGTTGTGTCCACTGGAAAAAAAAAAACTAAAAAATAAATAAAATTCTCTCTCTCTCTCAAAAAAAAAAAAAGTTAAAAAAAGTGATTCTTTTATACAACTACACACATGTAGAAAAACAGATTTTGAAAACTGAGAAGCAAATAAAAACTGACCATAAAGGAATAAGCGCATCAACCCACAAAGACAGTAGCAGTAAAATAGACATATCTTTATAATTTACAGTTTCTGCTTTAAGTATTATTAAGGAACWAAAGGTAATAAATAATAACTCAGCATTTTCTTCCAAGGGAGGCTACATTTTAAGACAGTGGCACTTTTTCCAACACACATGATAGTGTTTATCACTAAGAGGTCCTCATTAAATAACTTTTAAAGAATGTACTTTCTGGAATGGGAAATTGAAGCTACCACAAAAGGATGACATGCAAGAAGAATTGTTGTCCAACTATCTGAGTTTACAATATAAGGCCATAAATATTCTCTGGATACTTGGTGTACTTGCAACAACCCAATAACCAGCTGCCCTGAAAAGCAAATAGACTAATGTAAGCCTGCAACATAAAGTTAGATGTCATGGAGAAAGACCATCCATGACAGCTTTTGATTAGGAGCAACATTACCACTTAGATGATTGAAAAATCCATCAGACATATTTGCTATTTAATATAAATGCAGCAATACCACCACTGAGACCCCTAAAGTATGAGTTGTCTTCAAAGCTTATCAAGGCTAAGGGTGTCATTTATTGGACTTCAAATAAGGAATAGGAGATAATATTCAAGTTTTAAACAGAAGGTATTGTGGACAATAGAACTTAAATTCTATTTTTTTTCTTTTCAAATTTCCTACATAATTGTGAGAAAATGAAAGCAATTCTCTTCTAAAGTATAATTTTTTAAAGTACTGCAAATATTTAAATTTTCTCATAAATAAATAAACCAATGATTAAATATTCACATCTTATAAGTTTTTTGCATTGCTGGTGGGATAATAATAAAATTATTTTTCAATAATAAAATTAATTTTCTGGATATATTTCCTCTGAGTATTTGAAATATTATTAAAATTATAATTTTAAGCAATTTCTTTTAGCAGGTCCTGAACACAGGCACTAACTAGATGTTTTTTCTTAAAATTCTATATTTAAGTCCATTGAGGCAGGGTCTTGCTGAGTTGCCCAAGCTGGCCTCAAATTTGTAATTTTCCTGCCTCTGACTCCCCACCCAGTTGCTGCGATTACAGGTATATGCCACCACACCTGGTTTAAAATAATATAAATATATATATATATATATATATATATATATATATATATATTTTTTTTTTTTTTTTTTTAAAGGAAGTCTTAGGGGCTGGGAATATAGCTCAGTTGGTAGAGCGCTTGCCTCGCATGCACAAAGCCCAGGGTTTGATCTCCAGCACCCCATAAAAAAGCTAAAAAGGAATTTTTTTTTTTTTTTAAATAACTGCCTCAGCTTCCTGAGCCACTGGGTTACAGGTGTGAACCACTGCACCCGGAATAACTTTATTTTTTTAAAAAAATTATTCTTATGTGGTGCTGAGGATCAAACCCAGTGCCTTACATGTGCAGGGCAAGTGCTTTACCACTGAGCAACAACCCTAGTCCAATTTTTTTTTTTTTTAATTTTAGTTGTAGATGGACACAGTACCTTTATTTATTTTTATGTGGTGCTGAGGGATTGAACTCTGTGCCTTACGTGTGCTAGGCAAGTGCTGTACCACTGAGCTACAACCCCATCCCCTATAGTAATATTCTTGATGGGAGAGAATGAGATCAAGCTCCCAGGTATAGGAATTAGTTTTAGATAACAGCACAGATAGTTCATTTTTGGTCCCAGGAATGGGGGGAGGGAAGATAGAATATATGTGTGTGGGTACTGTTGGATAGGTAGATGAGGGAAGATCTGACTCTCTAAGGAAGGGATGGGGAAGAGTTATTGGAGACTGAGGAGAGAGAAGGAGTGAAACAGTCATTAAAGGAAATTAATGGATTAGAAAAAGATAGGGTAGTTGCTGAACATCCTTAAAAGAGGCTTGAGTTGGGGGCAGGGAGCAAGATGTATGCATAAGTAAGCAGTCTTGCTTAACTCTGGTCTAGTTGATCATTCTTTCTGTTCTGGTTCTAGGAGGTGGCTCTGGAGAAGTCCTTATCACCTGATGGGGCAGTCTTCATTTTCTGGCTTTGTATGTTTGCCTGTCAGATTTGTGATCCTGAAAGGGGGCATTTTGGTTTCCATTATATGATTGCTCCTGCTTATTTGGGGGGCAGTCTTATCATGGGACAGTGTGTCTGCAAGGCTCCACTGTTCTTAGGAGGTGTAGAGGAATGAATGAGGACTTGTAGATGCTACTACAGGGGTCTGAAACAGCATGCTATATTGTCCCTATAAATCTTGCATCTGTCTTGAAGGAGGACAAGATAGGTAAGGTATAGGGATGATAAACCTTGTATTGTTAGTTTTGGATTGAACACTCCTTAAGTGTTTCGTATGCCTATGTGCAGAGCAGCAGGAAACTTACTCAAAGTTTAAATTAATAGAGGAGACAGATAATGAAGGTAAAGATTCCAGGCTTTATCCTGCTTTTAGTTACACATTGGGCATCTGCAAGCCTTAGAGTCTCTGCTTTTAGCAAAGGCAGCCTCTCTAAGTCACTCTTATATTGGGATCAGTCAGAGTGATTTTGATTTGATTTGATTTGATATTTTATTTGATTTTCAGCCATATTTATTTATTGGTGATGGTTGTGGTTTTGCCAAGAGAGTACAACAGAACAGCATGGGGACAAGAGATTTCAGTGTGCATGCAAGGGAGTGACCATACTGCTTGGCTGTGGAGCTTAATGGTAGGCTAGAAGAGAGTTTAGAGGTGGGAGACTTGTGCATAGGTGATAGAATCAAAGGATTGGCTTGCTGGGATAA